GGACTCGATCCAGGGACTCCAGGATCATGACCTGAGCCGAAGGCAGTCGCTTAACCGACTGAGCCACCCAGGCGCCCTTTACTGCTTATTTTTTATATATTCTCAATACTTCTCTAACAATCAAGATAAATACTATACTTTTTTAAAAAAGAATGCTAGTATTCAAATTTACTCTTTTGAATCCAAGTTTTCACAGGGTATGAATTTTATATAAGTCAAGCCCAAGAAGTTGTGAAGAGTACACACACACACACACATCCCGTTTTATCTAAGTATCCCTACAAGCCTTTACTGGATGTGCCATCTAAATCACAGTGGTACTAACTACTTACTTTTCCGTACAGAAATGTCAGAAATTGATCAACAAGCTAATCAATTGCTTACTGATTAAAAGTTTATTAAACTTGGGTGGTTTTCCTATTTGGGTCTTCTCTTTGGTGCTTAACCACATAAAATAGTATGTCTTCACTGATGTGGGAAACAGGCAGAAGAAAAGTTATTAAATTTCCTTACTACTTATAGCCCATTGACAAGTCCTTGAAACAGGCAGAGTGACATTCCTCTAGGGACTCAATTGCCTCCATGTTAATACTTTGCTAAGGGCAACAGGCTTATCTTAGCCTGACCCCCAGGATCCTGTAAGTCTACTTTAACATATAAAAATTCCTTTGGAAATTTCCTGTATCTCTACCCCCCAAGATACATGTTGGCAATCATCCCCCAAGCATATGATATACATCTGAAGGGTCTCATGACTCAGATTTTATTAGACAGTTAATAAATGGCACTTTCCCAACAATAGCTAAGCCCCCTCAAGGTCCTGGAAACCTTGCTTCCAAAATACCTGGGAGACTTACATGCTATCCCCGGCTCCCTCCCAACTTGAAAGTACATAATGGGCCACTTCTCATGACCCCCATGCAGCATTTTCTGCCCATGGGTCCTGTTCCCATGCTTTAATAAAACCATCTTTTTGCACCAAAGACATTTCAATAATTCTTTCTTGGCCATCAGCCTTAAACCCTAACGTTTCTCCTATATCATTCACTAAATACAAAAAAACCCAAATACATAACATGTTTCAAAAGCATGAAAATAAAAGTTGTTGGAAGGAGTATTATTTAATACATTGACTTTTTTTTTCCCCTCTCATACTACATCTCTTTCCCCCATTAATTATCAGAAGGGAAAATTCAGCAAAAAAGTAGTTTGCTTTTTAACTTAAAAAGCCAAAACTTTCAAGTTTTAAAATCAAAGCTCTGAGGTCCCAAGAACCTGAATTTTAGCATTTCAGAAAACCAAGTCCTAAAAACTATACTTCTGAACTTTTTAAACATAAACTAATGTTTTGGACAATGAAATGAAAAGCCACTAACTTAATACAGAAGAGATGTCCTCTGGACTAGAATACAGGGACAGGAGAAAGAAAGCAAACCAGAAATCCATAGGTTGAGTAGTTAAAATGCAGCAATTATAAAATTGCATCCTCCACTGATATTTTAAAAATAACTTCTTTAAAAATGAGATCAAAGAGGAGGGGTGGCTCTAAATTATAGCTGAAATGAGCAAATTTTAAAAAATTAAATCTGATTTTGACAGCACTGATGCTCAAATGTATTAATTTTAGAATTCTCTCTCTTAGTGGTTTCCAAAGAACTCTTTTGTGGAAATGGCTGGAGTTATAAGTAACTACCAATCTACAGGAAGGATAAATGTCATTTTCAAATATGTAACATCTGAAATCAGAGACATCAGAAGTTCCCACAGCAAATGTTTGGTGAGTATTTAACCAAATTTTTAGCAAAGCTTGATCAGACATGTAATAACAACATGACTGCAGGAAGTATAAATCTGCCTTCTAACTTATACTCAATTCCCCCAATAAAGTATGCTGTATTTTCTCACGAGCATAGTAACCACTCATTTATACTTATTTATACTTTTTTTTAGGGGGGAGGGGCAGAAGGAGAGGGAAAGACTCTTAAACAGGCTCCATGCCCAGCACAGGGCCCAACACCGGGCTTGATCTTAAGCCCCTGAGATCACGACCTGAGCCAAAATCAAGAGTCAGATGGCTTAATCGATAGGGGCACCTTATTTATACTTTAAGTCGGTTTCCTCTACTAGAAAATAAGTCCTCCTTCCCACCCCATGAGGGCCATATTCCTACTAACTGGAATGCATGAACAAATACCAATTCTGATGTTGCAGCTACTAAAACATAATGGATGAACCCAACTGATTCTTTCCTAGAGGGGTGGGGTTTAATAAACGGAAAGATGTGTGACTCCTGTCCTGAATTCTGTTTACTATAAATGATCACCTGTTCGGAATCAAAGAGTCTTCTAGAAATGAAGAGGCCTGGCACAAATGACTGGAATGTTGAGATCTCCAAATTGATGAGATAAAACTGAATTGATACTTCTTATGGACCCCAAACCTCTTCCTCCAATCTCAGTGAATGGTGCCTTCACAGCCAGTAGATCATACTGGGAAAAGCTTTACATCTTTCTTGCCAAGTCCTCTTTCCCAATGCTACTCTCATTGCCTTTGGTGAAGCCCTTATCATCTCTCTGGAATTACTGCACTCTAATCTCTTCCTTAACAATCACCTCTCATTCTCCAAGAAATCCACCTCTTAAAATTCAAATCTGATATCCCCAGACTATGTCACTCATTTGCTTAAAGCCATCAATGGCTCTCTCTTCTCTACAGCAAAAAATCTAAATTTCTTGGAAAGGCATATAAGGCACCCTCTCTCACCTCCATTTCAGCAGCAACGCAAACCAAACTTCAGGCTTCCACAAAAGTGAGAGACTTACTGTTCCCCAAACATACCTTCATGCCTTTGCATGAGTTCCCTCTGAAAGCATCATATCCTAGAAGATTTCCACTCACTTTATAAAGCAGCATTAACCAGTTACTTGTCACAAACTACTAAACACTATTGAGTACCAAGCTCTGTGTTGGCACTAGAGCTAAATAAGACAGTCCCTATCTTCTAAGAATGCACTTTCCGGTGAAAATCTACAATAACATAGTGTTAATAGTGCCGCATTTGAGGACAGAGACGGAATCAGGAAATAGGTACAAACAAGATACTACTTCAGTGTTTCATGCAAAAAAAAAAAAAAGCAAACAACAACAAACAAAAAACAATATGCAAACGTAAAGAGGAAAGAGAATATTGTATATTCAGAGACTCATGCAGTTTAGCAAGTGGGGAGTGGGCTTATGGGAATTATAGTTAAAAGGTAGGAAGAGGCCAGTTTGTAATCAGCCTTATTGATCATCAAAAAACTGTTTCAGTTTTCTTCAGAAGGCAGTGGGAGCCATTAAAAGTTTTCTAGCAAGCAAATGATGGCCTCCTGACAGTATTGTGGAAATAGGTAGAAAGTCAATGAGGTCACTTAGCGGGCTATAACCAAGACTCAGGGGGAGGAAATATGAGGATGAGAAAAAAACACCTGTCAGTGAGCATCATGAAAAGCGTTAGATTTGAAAGACATTAGGAATCTAGAATTGACAGTAGAAGTAAAAGTTTTAATATAACTCCTAATTGTCTTTCTCACCCCCCCCGAAGGTGACCGAGGGGATGATTATCTCAGTGCTATTCACTGAGACAAGAAATAAAGGAAGGGAAATACAACTCTTTCAATGTCCCACACTACATTTAGGATTGCTCTTCTCCTGCTCAATATTTTCATCTTTCCGTGGCACATATCACTGTCTATTCTAGCACGTCATGTACTTACTTATTTTGTTTTATTGTTTCTTATCTGTCTCCCATGCTAGAAGAAAAGATTCAGGCAGGCAGGGCTTTTCTTTTCTTTTTTTTTTTTTTTGGTTTTACTCACCAATATAGATCTCAAAGCTGCATATAGTAAGTTCAATAATTAGTAATTAAATTAATGAATGAGTTAAAACTAATTAATAAT